CTGCAATGGGCAATCTCCAACGCACAGAGACTTTAGTGAACATGCCATGATTGCACGTAACCAGAGTTGGTCATTGTTTAGAAGTGTTGAAACTGTACAAAGAGCTATAGAAAAGAGCTTTTTCTGTGCTGTGCTACTGGGGCTCATCTCCAGATGCTGATCTTCTTTTGCCTTTCTTCGTGCAGAAGACTTGGATCAAACTAAGGAGAAAAGAGAAGAGTGAGGAAGTACAGCGGCCATTGCTGCGCTTGAAAACCCACACTGTTGCGCATCTTGCCACTGACCAGCTTCTCATTTTGCTCTGTCCAGCTCTGAGTTCCCAGCACAGTGAATAAAAAAAGAAACACAGCAAAGATCACCACTGATGGCTCCATCAGTTTTACTCCTGTGGCTCTTGTCATGCCGTATTGACAACATCATATAAGGAAAACTGGTGATACTGAAAACATGAAGCACTGAAATGGACAACCCTAGGAGAAGCTGTTTCTCTTCAGCAATTTGAAGAGTGCTTTTAGAAATCACAGGGAGACTTCTACCCTGCTGATCAGAGGTAAGAAAGATCAAGAAAATCAGCTACATTGTCTTGCCAGAAAAGACTTCTCTCCCATCAGTCTTCAGAGGCCTTGACAGTCGGCTGAGCTGATGCCAGGCCCTGCCGTAGCACCTTTTTGCAGCAGGGGAGGCTCTGCTCTAGCACAATTTAAAAATGCAGTGATACAGCTGCAGCTTGAGAACCAATTACAGTACCAAAAGGACATTCAAGTTGTCCCTACATTGCATGGGGACGTGGAGACAAGTCTATTCCGCTGCTGCCAATAGCATTACAGCAATGTGGATGTGGCAAAGGTGCAGAGCTCACAGCATGCGTGGCCTGTCCTTTATCACCTCCAAATGATGGAGGCTAAAAGTAGACTTTTACAGAGCAGATCTGCCCTTCTCATAGGAGCAGCTCATATAACTGCCGTGGGCATCCTAAAGCAAATGTCCCAAACAGGTGAGAAACCTACGCCTTAAAAACACCTTTTGTTGACCACAAAAAATTCCTAAGAACCTGCTCAGTTGCTCCATACTGTAGTTTTCTACATGTTCTCTGAGACCATCACCGTATGTTCTCAAGGAAATTATGGTTTGATGGCTGGCCTTTAGGGCCACTGCTAATGAACAAGGATTAGTTTACCTGTGGGAGCTGACGTGGGTAAGCAGATCTATGTGAAATCACACATCAGTAAAAATTCTTGGAGAGGAGAACATTCAAAATGTGATCTTTTTCTCCCCTCCTTTCCGTGATGATGACACAGGAGCTCCACAACTACAAGATTACAAACATTTTGCTGAGTGGAGAAAGCAGTCTTAAATAAAATAACTGATTAACTTGCGATGACTGATACTTCATTAAAAGCAGGGGCTCTTAGTCCCTATGGTAAACTAGTTTGTCATATGTCAAACAAATCATCACAGTTTATGCCACTTTAGTTCATTTATATACTGTTGCAATAAGCCACCTGTATATTAGAAAAAAAAATGGAAAATTATGTTTTTAATGCTTTGAAGGGTTTTGTCATAAAACCAGTAAATAAAAGTGTATTGACAGTTGAAGGTAATCTATGATTGGCTCATTCTGACTATGCAGTTAAACCTTTAAGAGGAAACACAATGTTTTTCTTGAAAACATCTGGTGCATGTTAGATGGCATCCAGCTATGGCACAAAATTTGTTATCCCATTTTCAGTAATGTTTATCCATCTATTTTGTATTCTTTTCTACGTGCTTCCTTGGCAACAGGATAATACCTTATGGGCTAACACCATAAACACAAATTGTAACTATATAAATTTGGGCAAAGGGGCATTAGACAGCAGGTGAAATGCAGTCTCATTTGTGGCTAGTTTTCAGCAGAGGGTGGAAATGGTAGACAAAGGCTGACCTGCCCTTTGCCTGACCTTGAAGGGGAAAACGCAGCTTACACTCTAAATACTCGCAGCTAGCTAGATCCTATAGTGATATCAAGCCTTATTTTCAATCTGCTTTAATCCAAGCACGTTCAGTGGCCCCCAGTCTCCCACTAGCTTCCTCCTTTGCCTGCAGCCAGGGGTTGGCAGGATGCTGGGCTGACAAGGCACAGCACTTGAGCTGTATGGGGTTTAGTTCTGCATCTTCAGTCACCAGAGTTCAGAATAACCCAGGCTTCATAAGACCTGCTCATGATGCAAAACTCACCTCTTCAAGTCCAGATTTCCCACAGAAATATTTCCTGAAACTGGCACCCCAGCTTCTTTTCTTCCCCATATCATGTTAATGACAGGGAATGGAATGGGAAAGTGACTGGTAATTTACTCACATCATCCAAAAAATATTATTCAGCCCACTTGAAAGAGTAAGTGATTCTTTACCACCAGAAGGAGGACACATATTTTTGAAGCTGGAGTGCCTTGACTTAAAAAAGCAGCAGACCCTGAATGTGTTTTTTCATTTTCATGGCACCTTTAAACAAAAGGTGGAAGATTTTAATTTAGCCATTAGAGGTCAGTAAATCACAGGTTATTTGTCGGTTTGTTAAATTCAATTATTGGGGAAAAAATAGAAACAAGGGAAAGAAAAATAAATACAACATTTCTGAAGCTTTAGGGTTAAATGCTGGGTGAGGTAGAGGCCTGGGATTGGGATTTTAAGAGTAAAATTGTAGTTTTCGGCTGCAAATGAGCAAAGCTGAGAATTAGTCCACATCCGTCAGAATGTGCTGGTGTTCTCTTTGTAAGTCTTATATCAAACACTTAGACATCTGCCCAATGTAAGATGCAGAGTCAAACCACAGCTCTGGGGCTGGAACTAGATAATGCTTTTCTCATACTTGGATGTGCAGCCACTACACTACACTGCAGTTACATTCTTGTATACTGCTGCCCTCTCAGCCCAGGGATTCATCCCTCCTGCTCCACAGTGGCCCAAATGCAGTGAGAAAGGTGCAAGGAAATACTGATTTCCACACACATACTAGGGGACAAGAAAGTCATATTATTCTTTTTATGCTACAGCGACCAACAGGAAATTGTCTCAATCTAAATAAGGCAACTGCACAAGGTTTAATAATGTCTGATTCTGATCAATGCAACTTAAATAATGTATCTATTGGCCATCTAAAAGTAAGCTTGCCTTCTGACCCCTGCCAGAGAAAAACTTGGGCTCATATCTCTCCTGAGCCTTCTCCCTCCAGCATTTTTCTACTGACTAATTTTCTGTTGGCTTATCTGAAGATAACTTGATACGTGCTCACTGAAATGAATGCTCAAATTTGCTAAACAGCTCTTCGTATGTTACTGTTTCTGGGTGTCCAGGTGCTAACCTGCAGCCTGGAGGCATCTCCTGGCTCCTTGCAAGCACATCCCCCTCAAGCGTATGTCTTGCTGTGCCAGGCTGCCATGCTATCTCATATGAACCTTAATCTTGATACTTAACTCCACAGATATTTCATAGAACTGTAGAATAACAGAATGGTTAGGGTTGGAAAGGACCTTAAGATCATCCAGTTCCAACCCCCCTGCCATGGGCAGGGACACCTCTTACTACACCATGTCACTAAAGGCTCTGTCCAACCTGGTCTTGAACACCACCAAGCATGGAGCATTCACAACTTCCTTGGGCAACCCATTCCAGTGCCTCACCACCCTCACGGTAAAGAACATCTTCCTTACATCTAACCTAAACTTTTCCTGTCTAAGTTTTAGCCCATTACCCCTTGTCTTATCGCTACAGTCCCTGATAGAGTCCCTCTACAGCACCCCTCTTGAAATAGAGGGAATGTGAGCACCAGTCTGGTGAAGTGCATCCCTTGAATGTGCACACTCACTCTCATTATGGGAACATGCCAGGAGAGGAGGCAGACACAGGTCTCTTAATCAGTTACAGGAGGACTATCAGGCTGCCAATGTCAAAAAGACAGAAGCCAACCTGAATGGAATATTCTCAGTGAAAAGGTTTAATAACATGGCATAAGGTGAAGGTGAAACCTCCTCGGGAGTTGCTCGCAGTCCCGTGTCAGACAGTTTGTCTTCCAAGCAAGGAGGTCCACTCAAAAGATGAATGGATATAGACAGGCAAGCAAAGAAGCTAAAACATCACAGCTTGTCTAGCCTGGCAAAATAAAGGCTTGGGATAGTTATGACAGTTGACTATAAATACATTGAAGGCTGAGGGTAGAGGAGGGAGACAAGCTATGCAGGATGAAGAATATACTTGGCACAAAACCAGATGGGTATAAATTGCCTGTAAATAAAATTTAGGTCAGAACTCCGGAAAAGATTTCCAGATCTCTCCAACGCCTCCATTTCTCATAGGCAACGAATGATTTATTTCAATTTAGATCTCTGTTAATTAAGCAAGACATGATTATCCATGACAGGAGGGGACTGGAACTTGTAATCCAGAAGGCCTGTAGGATTGTTAGCTAGCCAGACCCCTTTAACAGTGCTTTACAAATGGATCATCAAGAAATAGCTTCACAGAGTCCAGTTCTGCTGTGTGTGCTCGCACATCATTTTGTGGGAATCCCTCACAGTGAGGAAATTGAGGCTTCCAGCCCCTAACTGGCAGGTGATTGCCAAGGCCTGCAAGCAACAAAACGCGAGGTGACAGCTTGCAGATTGTGCAAGCTTTATGTCCACAAGGAAAATGGACCTTGAATGGGTGAAGAACCTCCTTTACGAATCTCAGATATTTGTGTTGAAATACGTGGCCCTTGGACAAAGTGGGGGGGAAAAAAAGATGTCTTCTCTAGACTCCAAAAGCAGATAGGCACAGAGCAAGGTTTCTGCTGAGCCTGCACACAGAAAAGAAGGGAAAAACATTGAGGGTATGTTCATCATGGGTTCAGAAGCTTCTTCATTTATTCTGAGGAAATAACCAAACGCAGTAAAGTAAAAGGAACTGAATCCTGTGGTTAGGGACTTGAACTCGGGCTGGTGAGTCAGCCCTCTGGCATCCAGAAATAGTCTTCTGCTTCAGATCAAGATGTCTTTCTGAGGAGAGGCTGGGCCACCTCACTGCACTGATGACTACGGCGTTGGTGGGACAAGGGAAGACTCTGCCATCACCCCCTTGGAAGTCAAAGGTATGGTAGGGGCTTCCACAGCCCTGCAATGGGAGGTTGTGCGAAAGTTAGAGAATGGGGCTGTTGATCTTACAGAATCACTGCACAGCCCCTGTCCTGCTAACAGAGCTTCTGCTTCAAAAGTAGAAGCTGAACTTCATGCTCTTGTGTCCAGGTTCATGAACAGTCCGATTTATGCAAGTCTGGAGCATTCAATAACTTACTTTAATTTCAGTGGGTTGCTTTGTGGGGTTTTTTGTAAACAAGGCATCATTCTGTGTAAATAGAGAAGAAAGCTGCAAGAATGTCAAAATAACAAACAGCTTGGTGTATGTGACATTTTAATAATTCTCCTCCTTAAGCATCATCATCATCCTAACTCAATGACAAACGATTTGATCTTTCATTTTCTCTAATCAAGAGCTCTGGAACTAAATCATTTTACTTAATGGGAACAGCAAAGTCACTTGAATAATGCAGATTCAGAGCTCTACTCAGATGTGACTTCTGAGCAATGTGCTATCTGGGTCAAACTGTGGATAAAAAAAAAAGGAAGAGTAGAGACTAGGATGAAAAAGACAGAAAAGTAACCAGAGACAGAAGCAAAAATATCATCTGTTTTGGTGGATGAAGATAGCACATCACATTAACAGGCTAGAAGATAAACATATCATCAGCTCTGTTTTCATCATTTAGAGTGGATTATTTTAAGAAACTTCATCAACCAAGTAGGAAGTTGCTATGTGGCTAATAAGGAAGATTGGGTGAGATAACAGCACAAACAGCCTCAGGGAAAAACCCATGATATAAACTGATGGCTACAGCTAAAAGCTGCTATTGAAACAATTTTTTTTAAATTATTATTGATGTAAGAGCTATCATGTGTTCTTCATGCTGCAGTATCCACCATGAAGGTCACATTTGAAACAATGCATATTGATCTGAGCCTATGTAAGAGAGACATTGTAGATGCACAATAATGATTTGGTCCCTGCATCGTGCTCTCACACACTGTCTGTATGGGCACAATGCAACCCACTTCTGACATTTATTTGTCTGCAGACTGCCCAGGCCTTCTCCCAGTGAGGCAGGCTGGAGGCCCTGCAGGAAGAAACGTTCTGCTGAATCTGTGCAGCAGCAATTCCCCAGGCATTGCTTGGGTCCAGCTCCCACTGTGCTGGGGCATCAGAAGTCCCACAATACAGTGTGAAGTGATGCGAGCATACCTTAGCAACAAGAGCTGAAAGCTACTATTCATACCAGCCTTCCTATTGATTTAAAAGCAATTATTTGCCTGAGTAAGTCCCGCTCATGTGAGAAAGGGTTTACAAAATCATGGCCAAAGGCTTTTGAGAGCTCCTGTCGTTCCCAGATATGTGTGTTGTGAGACGCAGTTTACTTTCACGAGGTGCTTACAGTCATGAGTCTTTAACCAAGTTTTCCATGCCTTCCTGTTTTGGAGTTATTCTACACGGCCATATCATTCCTTGGTGTCTTTTAGAAAGATCTGGCATATGACTAAGTTTGGCAAGCATTCTAGGTGGTCCTGAAGTACTTAGCCCTGCCAAGGATCTTTGATACTAGCCAGCCCTTGACATGGTCTCCCAAATCCAGCTTGCACTTGTGAAGGGCTGAGGAGAGGACAGCCCTGTGTCCAGGTTGGCTGCTGTTCCTCAAAGATAGACCAACCCTTTTCCAGAGTGTTAGAAGAGGGTCATGAGCTGACACAACCCTCCATTTCTGAACTCTCTGGTCTGCACCATGTATCACGCCTGAAGACAGAGGTGGAGGAGAAAGCAACAGCCTGGATACGCTAAGGAAGGGATGGCTAAAGAGGCAGCCCAAGAACTGGCTGTAATCACAGCAGCCTTCTCAAGCAGACATGTCCAAGTTGCATCCAGCTTAGCCCTGGGCACATTTCAACCTCTCTGCACTACCTCTGGACTGCAACTAGCCATCAATTTGACCATCTCTTACTGCCTACAGAGTGGAAAGGGCAACACTAAACGTTTTGCTTCAAGAGAGAAAGTCTCGAGGAGTAATTTCCAGCATATGATTCCTAAAACTCTGCAGATGTGGAGAGGCTGAGTGACTCAGTGGACTAAGATTGGCTAGGCAATAAAAATTAATTCTATTTGGCTTCTGGTGTAGTACACAACTTTTGGTCAGCCATTTAATCTTTCCCACTCTCCCTTATTCTGAAGAGTTAGGACCCAGCTGAGGGCATGCTCTGATATTCTCTGGAGCTGTAAGAGTAGTACACCTGCCAAGCACCACTTGTATCATGTCAGTTATACACCTTAGAGGCTTAAATGGTAGTGCTGACAGACCCTTAGTAATAAGAGTGTTACAAGCATTAGCACATCTATAATAAGTACAGGTAAATATCATCTTTGTGTCTATTTTGTCCTCAAGTGGATTACCAAAATCAGTCTATTGCTTCACACAGATTAAGTAACCTGTCTTTTCATTCTGTGAAATGTCCTGAATGGTAAGGATTTGTGGCTTTCTGTACCACAAATCCTCTGCCAGAGCTTGCAGATGGCCTGAGTTAAATATGATCTGATTTGCTTTCTTTCCATTTCTTTTCAGGGTTACAAGTGTATATGCTTATATGATGAAGCCACATTCTCACGTTGCCTAGTTTTTCCTTTCATACTCTTGGTGTGTTGAGTGCCATTAACAATTAAAGTACTATGAGTATGTTCCATCAGTAATGAAAGTCTTCACAGCTTTCTCAGCTACTGTTCATTGTACATATTTCATAGTACTGAAATACGAAGAATGCATGCTGCTTGAGCTTGCCATTTGTCTTTAAAAAACACTGGTTCTTGAACACCGTGATGCAGGATCAGTGTCTTGGGTGATACACAGAAAGACAACAGTCCTGTGCTCCACCAGCATCATTTTTCCAGCTATTGAAACTGAGATGCTGATTTTTATCTCTGTAACACATGAAAGAAGACAGAAGAAGTGGCCCGGATGCTAGCAGAATAGCAGAGAAATAATGACAATATCACTTAGGAGTTATCTGCACTCTGGATACATTTAAGAAACCCAAAATGAAAACTTTTCATTTGAATGCTTAGGGTTTTGTTAAGCATAAACTGAATGGAAATAAGGAGTTTGTGGCTGATGCAAAGAAAACACTAGCTATTCTCAGAGATTAATTGCAGTCCTACTACTGCAGTTCATAAAAAAGCAATTAATCTGTAATCATTGAAGTGTTGGGGGGGGGGGGAATGCAGTTCTTGACATTAAGTGAAAATAAAGTGTGCGATATAATCAGGTACTCCTTCAATAGCTCAGAAACTCTTCTGCCTATGCAGATCATGGAGGGGTAGCAGGTAAATATGTCCCTCTGGACATGACAGTCCCCATGAGCACTGCCAATCCAACAGCTAGCTGAAGAAACTGCTTGTTTATAAGTTCTGTCAACACTGTGTGGTTTTTCCTGTCGTGACAGAGATTTTGTAGCCACTGTCATATGCCACTGGCCTCTCGAGTCCCTTGAGAGGCAAATGATAGATGAGCCTCACTATACCTTTGTGGAAGTGGCAGTCTCTGCCCAGTCTCTGTGTGAGGAGGAGCTGCTGCAATGGACCTGGTCCTCACAGACAGAGGAGCCGACACATGTGGGACTGCAGAGAGCCTCGCTCACAGACTATGCTTTTGCTTTCTTGTCGTGGTTTAAACCCAGCCAGACAGCTCGTTCACTCACTCCCCCCCTTCTTGCCCTCCCCCTACTCCTGGGGGGACGGAGAGGAGAATCAAAAGAATGCAACTCCCATGGGTTGAGATAAGAACAGTTTAGTAACTAAGGTATAACACAAATCACTACTGCTACCACCAATGATAATAATGATAAAGGAAATAACAAGGGAAGAGAATACAACACCTCACCACCAGCTGATAACTTGCCTCCCCCAGCCCGACCAAGCACCAACCGATACCTCCTCCAACCCCGCAGTCTCCCAGCCCTTCCGGGTAACTCCCAGTTACATCCTGGGCATGACGTGCTGTGGTATGAAATACCTGTTTGGTCAGTTTGGGTCAGGTGTCCTGTCTCTGCTTCCTACCAGCTTCCCCTCCTCCCTGGCAGAGCATGAGGCTCACAAAGTCCTTGGCCAGACCAAAACATCGGTGTTATCAGCACTGTTCCCAGGCCGAAAGTCAAAACACTGCACTGCACCAGCTACCAAGGAGAAAAATGACTGCTACTGCTGAACCCAGGAAATTTCTGAAGGAACAGTTGTCAATAGCCATTTTCTTACATTTTTGGTTTTAGAATGTTGAAAAACCCTCCCAGGAGGCCTAAAGCAGACCACCTAACACAGAACACTGGTGCAGCTGACTGAGAAAGGCAAAGTTTCTGAGCTCTGATGTCCATCATTTATGAAGTGTCCCACACAAAGACCTTGTACGTAGTATCTGGCCCACATATTGCATGTCCTCATCATTCATTAACCCTTTGTTTTTTTTTCCTAGACATCAAGGCATAAAATATTTCCTCCTCCCTTATTTCTTCCTTAAGCTTCATACTGGGATGGAAAAAGTGATGCGATTTCTCCTTAAGCGTAAGTGTTTCAGCAGACTCAGAAGTGTTTCTGCTTCTCCAGGTCTGCAGCTGCCCTGTCCCATTCTGCCTTGGAAATACTGCAAGGCTTAGGAATAACCTTTCTTCATACATTTAAGCAACATAACGTGCTAATTTAAACTACTCACCCTTGTGTCATGTCCCCCCCTTCCCTTTTTCAGTCCTGCAATTTCTGTACCATGGAACACTTATGAACACAAATCCCCCAGGCAGCTTCCAATATAATCAGCCTTCATCAAGGCTGTTCATTCTGTCAATACAGCTTTTCTCCTCTTGTTCTGTTTTTCCTTTCCTACCTTCTCTAGATCAAGTCTGTGTGAAGGAAGAGGAATGCATTTTCTTCCCCTGGCCCCCCTTTAAGACTTTACAGACAGCCCTGGACTCACTACACTGAAAAACATCCTTATAGGGAAAGGCCAGAGAT